CCGAGCCCTGGCGAAATCGTCATTTTTCACAAAACTCAAAATCAAAACCAGCCATAGAATCGTTTTGAAAATGGTACCATTGTGTTTACCACAGCAATTTACCTTTCTTTCTTTGCTAATCTAGTAAAGATTTTCTTGACTAGTAAAGTCTTTCTTTGCTAATTTTAAATATTAACGCCTATACAGCCATATTTACTGAGATACAGCCACCTCAAATATCAAAAATATCATCGTGTTTTCTCAACAAATTACTAAGGAAAATCAATTGTAAAAAATGTAATAATAATCAAATTGAGCTAAATTATAAATGGATAATCAAAATAACATTATATCTATATTCCTCATGTATTTAGAGACTACTATGCATGGTGCGTATATGGGCATATGTATGCTACTTATAAAGGCATTTGTATGGTACCTATATTGGCATATGAATGGGTACTTATATGGGCATTTATGGTACTTATAAGGGCATATGTATGGTAGTTATAAGGGTATATGTATGATACTTATAAGAACATATGTATTGTTCTTATAAGGGCATAAGTATGGTACCTTTTTGGGCATATGTATGTTACTTATAAGAGCTTTTGTATGGTACCTCAATGAGCATATGTATTGTTCTTATATGGGCATATGTATGACACTTATATGGGATTGAGTATGGTGGTACCTTTATGGGTATGTGTTTGGTACTTATGTACTTACGTACCTCTATGGTACTTACGTACCTTTTACCTTACACAGACAGTCATCCGTATTTTATAGATATAGAACATAGACAATGATTAAATCAAGTAATAAAAACTTGACCAGCGGACGAAGACAAAGATGGGGTACATACAGCTCGCCGCCTGCAAATAATCCGAGCCCTGGCGAAATCGTCATTTTTCACAAAACTCAAAATCAAAACCAGCCATAGAATCGTTTTGAAAATGGTACCATTGTGTTTACCACAGCAATTTACATAAGAGCTTTTATATGGTACCTCAATGGGCATATGTATTGTTCTTATATGGGCATATGTATGACACTTATATGGGATTGAGTATGGTGGTACCTTTATGGGTATGTGTTTGGTACTTATGTACTTACGTACCTCTATGGTACTTACGTACCTTTTACCTTACACAGACAGTCATCCGTATTTTATTGATATAGAAGATAGACGATGATTAAATCAAGTAATAAAAACTTGACCAGCGGACGAAGACAAAGATGGGGTACATACAGCCCGCCGCCTGCAAATAATCCGAGCCCTGGCGAAATCGTCATTTTTCACAAAACTCAAAATCAAAACCAGCCATAGAATCGTTTTGAAAATGGTACCATTTTGTTTACCACAGCAATTTACATAAGAGCTTTTGTATGGTACCTCAATGGGCATATGTATTGTTCTTATATGGGCATATGTATGACACTTATATGGGATTGAGTATGGTGGTACCTTTATGGGTATGTGTTTGGTACTTATGTACTTACGTACCTCTATGGTACTTACGTACCTTTTACCTTACACAGACAGTCATCCGTATTTTATAGATATAGAAGATAGACGATGATTAAATCAAGTAATAAAAACTTGACCAGCGGACGAAGACAAAGATGGGGTACATACAGCCCGCCGCCTGCAAATAATCCGAGCCCTGGCGAAATCGTCATTTTTCACAAAACTCAAAATCAAAACCAGCCATAGAATCGTTTTGAAAATGGTACCATTGTGTTTACCACAGCAATTTACCTTTCTTTAGGTAAAGTCTTTCTTTGCTAATTTTAAATATTAACGCCTATACAGCCATATTTACTGAGATACAGCCACCTCAAATATCAAAAATATCATCGTGTTTTCTCAACAAATTACTAAGGAAAATCAATTGTAAAAAATGTAATAATGATCAAATTGAGCTAAATAATAAATGGATAATCAAAATAACATTATATCTATATTCCTCATGTATTTTGAGACTACTATGCATGGTGCGTATATGGGCATATGTATGCTACTTATAAAGGCATTTGTATGGTACCTATATTGGCAAATGAATGGGTACTTATATGGGCATTTATGGTACTAATAAGGGCATATGTATGGTAGTTATAAGGGTATATGTATGATACTTATAAGAACATATGTATTGTTCTTATAAGGGCATAAGTATGTTACTTATAAGAGCTTTTGTATGGTACCTGAATGGGCATATGTATTGTTCTTATATGGGCATATGTATTGTTCTTATATGGGCATATGTATGACACTTATATGGGATTGAGTATGGTGGTACCTTTATGGGTATGTGTTTGGTACTTATGTACTTACGTACCTCTATGGTACTTACGTACCTTTTACCTTACACAGACAATCATCCGTATTTTATAGATATAGAAGATAGACGATGATTAAATCAAGTAATAAAAACTTGACCAGCGGACGAAGACAAAGATGGGGTACATACAGCCCGCCGCCTGCAAATAATCCGAGCCCTGGCGAAATCGTCATTTTTCACAAAACTCAAAATCAAAACCAGCCATAGAATCATTTTGAAAATGGTACCATTGTGTTTACCACAGCAATTTACCTTTCTTTCTGTAAAGTCTTTCTTTGCTAATTTTAAATATTAACGCCTATACAGCCATATTTACTGAGATACAGCCACCTCAAATATCAAAAATATCGTGTTTTCTCAACAAATTACTAAGGAAAATCAATTGTAAAAAATGTAATAATGATCAAATTGAGCTAAATAATAAATGGATAATCAAAATAACATTATATCTATATTCCTCATGTATTTAGAGACTACTATGCATGGTGCGTATATGGGCATATGTATGCTACTTATAAAGGCATTTGTATGGTACCTATATTGGCATATGAATGGGTACTTATATGGGCATGTATTGTACTTATAAGGGCATATGTATTGTAATTATAAGGGTAAATGTATGATACTTATAAGAACATATGTATTGTTCAAATAAGGGCATATCTATGGTACCTTTTTGGGCATATGTATGTTACTTATAAGAGCTTTTGTATGGTACCTCAATGAGCATATGTATGGTACTTATATAGGCACATGTATGGCACGTATTTGGACATTTTTTGGTACTTATATGGGCATGTGTATGGTTCTTATATGGGAATGTGTATGGTTCTTGGGCATGGAGCGGGTACAGAGGGAGGGGGTGTGTATGGAGCGGGTACAGAGGGGGGTGTGGAGTGGGTACAGAGGGGGGTGTGGAGTGGGTACAAAGGGAGGAGGGGGTGTATGGAGCGGGTACAAAGGCAGGGGGGGGGGTGTGGAGCGGGTACAAAGGGTGTGTATAGAGCGGGTGCAAAGGGAGGGGGTGTGTGGAGTGGGTACAAAGGGAGGGGGTGTGTATGGAGCGGGTACAAAAGGAGGGGGGTGTATGGAGCGGGTACAAAGGGAGGGGGTGAATGGAGCGGGTACAAATGGGGGGTGTATGGAGCGGGTACAAAGGGAGGGGGGTGTGTGGAGCGGGTACAAAGGGAGGGGGTGTATGGAGCGGGTACAAAGGGAGGGGGGTGTGTGGAGCGGATACAAAGGGAGGGGGTGTGTGGAGCGGGTACAAAGGGAGGGGGTGAATGGAGCGGGTACAAAGGGAGGGGGTGTATGGAGCGGGTACAAAGGGAGGGGGTGTGTGGAGCGGGTACAAAGGGAGGGGGTGTATGGAGCGGGTACATAGGGAGGGGGTGTATGGAGCGAGTACAAAGAGAGGGGGTGTATGGAGCGGGTACGAAGGGAGGGGGTGTGTGGAGTGGGTACAAAGGGAGGGGGTGTGTGGAGTGGGTACAAAGGGAGGGGGTGTGTGGAGCGGGTACAAAGGGAGGGGGTGTATGGAGCGGGTACAAAGGGAGGGGGTGTATGGAGCGGGTACAGAGGGAGGGGGTGTATGGAGCGGGTACAAAGGGAGGGGGTGAATGGAGCGGGTACAAAGGGAGGGGGTGAATGGAGCGGGTACAAAGGGAGGGGGTGAATGGAGCGGGTACAAAGGGAGGGGGTGAATGGAGCGGGTACAAAGGGAGGGGGTGTGTGGAGTGGGTACAAAGGGAGGGGGTGTGTGGAGTGGGTACAAAGGGAGGGGTGTGTATGGAGCGGGTACAAAGGGAGGGGGTGAATGGAGCGGGTACAAAGGGAGGGGGTGAATGGAGCGGGTACAAAGGGAGGGGGTGTATGGAGCGGGTACAAAGGGAAGGGGTGTGTGGAGTGGGTACAAAGGGAGGGAGTGTATGGAGCGGGTACAAAGGGAGGGGAACATTGAGACATTGCGCCTCATCTTGGGCATTTGATTGATGTATTTACCTTAAGACATACTAGTGACCAAGGTATATGGCGAGAAAGTGGAGTAATTAAGAAATGCCTATTGTATGTCTACCTTGCGTCTACCTTGTATAGCTTCCTGGGATCAACAGCCCCATGGCCCAGTCTCCAACCAGGCGTCCTGGTTGGTTGTCTGTTGTTGGCTGTTGGACACGACTGCTTGCAGCCTGACGTGTGAATCACAGCCTGGTTGAACAGGAATTCTTTGGAGGCGGCGTCTGTCAGTTATGCCTCCTATATGTAGTGGAAGCGTGTTGAACAGTCTCGGGCCTCTGATGTTGATAGTTCTCTCTCCGAGTACCTAGTGGGAGCCGGTCGGCCGAGCGGACAGCACGCTGGACTGTGATCCTGTGGTCCCGGGTTCGATCCCAGGCGCCGGCGAGAAACAATGGGCAGAGTTTCTTTCACCCTATGCCCCTGTTACCTAGCAGTAAATATGTACCTGGGTGTTAGTCGGCTGTCACGGGCTGCTTCCTGGGGGTGGAGGCCTGGTCGAGGACCGGGCCGCAGGGACACTAAAGCCCCGAAATCATCTAAAAAATCTCAAGATAACCTATTACAACACTAAAATGCAGAAAATTAAATTATTAAAATAAAAGGATTTATAAATTATAAAAATTCCTACATAATATAAGGTTACAATTCATACTAATTACAAAGAATTCAACTTTTTATTTCCAATCCCATTTACAATATCTTTGAGTAAAGGCTCGTTACAAAAGTTGTATACTGTACATAATAGCTATAGCAGTATAGGAGACAGGAAATGAATCAAATGCTGCATGTTGTTCATTATGCAGCATTAAAGTCTTTCTCATGTCACGAGGAATGATTCTAGTACCATGTGGTAGGTTTTCATATTTTGTACAGCCTGTGTAATTCACAAACAAACCACAGAGTGTAAGCTGAAGAATATATATAAGAATATATGTAAGAACGCTGAAAGTAAAAAAAGACAGCAAATTAAACTCTGGTCCCGTACTTCTAATTTGTGTCATTCTTTGAATAAAATTAGCATTAAATTTCTAAAAAAAAAATCCCAATTCAGATAGTTATTAAAAATCATTTGTGAATGATCAACAACTTTCTTTAGCGAGGACGGGTAAAAGCCACAAAAGATACTTTTGCACTTAAATGATTTCTTGGGTTCAAAGACCTCGGCATAATACACTGCGTCTGTGATACACAATTAACCAAAGGGATCGTTTACAGTGGATCATGAGAACTCTCATTAATTATGATCATGTAAAAGATTTTGGCAGTTTAACAATGTTGGTAATAAATACATATTTACACATGAGCATCATTTTGCTCCTTTATACAACTTTTGCCCAACAGGTTACAATATTTATAAATTCTCTAATTTTATTACATTGCGTTAGTTTACAGAAAACACACAAACACACACACACAACAATCACTGTTTGAAGACCTCATCCTCATAGAGAATTTGAATTCTCTAATTGTATCTATATGCTTTGTGTCTCTATATAAACCAAGAATACTCATCCACTTATACATGGGGTCTTAATTTATCCTCAACTGATAAGCCATCGATATGAAAGAATACCTGGTTGATGGGGTTCTGGGAGTTCTTCTACTGCCCCCAAGCCCGGCCCGAGGCCAGGCTTGACTTGCGAGAGTCACAAGTCAAGTCAATAATGGCATATAAAGTTTGGATGGGACTAATAAGCTGAGTACATGGTTAATATAAAAGTGTAGTGTGTCTTCATGTTATTTTATTGCTGGAAGAACTTTAGAAAATCCTGCCAAAATCTTTCAAATAAAATTATAACAAAAAATTTAAAAAGTCACAAACTAGAATGTATTAGCAACACCAAAGAGAGATTTTGGTAAGAATAAGAAGTATGAGGAAAGCAATCACAGACATTAACTGCATGTCAATTAGACCCATCTACAGTTTTCTTTTGAGCTGCTGCTTCAAGCTATTCAGATTTAATTTCCAGAAAGCTACATATCGACAACTTCCATAACACACTATTACGAAGCTTGACACGCGAGAAACTGTAGTGTGCCCAAGTTGAACGCAGGGCATCGACAAGAGTGACACTTATTCGACAGTGACGGACTTTGCCAAGTTTCTTGGGCAGTCAACATTACAGCCTCTAAGAACCGCAATGTGGTAGGAGAGTAGCTGCAACGGTATGACCGTGAGGAGACCCTGAAGGCAGTCCACAGTCTTGGGAACCTCTAGGGTGTTAGACGCAAACTTCTTAATCTCGTCGTCGTCCTTATTGCAGATGAGGAATGGCCGGCCTTCACGGGCCGTCACTTGTTGTAGAGCGTTCATGCATTTCTGAGAGAAATGTTTAACTTATAAGAATAGAACTTTTTAAACTGTTAAATCTAACAAAGCTAATTGTTATAAATTAACCCAAGTCAGTATGAAAATAATGCTGTAGATAGGAGTAACCTGCTAAATCATTCCAGAATCTTCTCAAAAATAAGTTCCTTATATCCAAATTAGTCTGAATATGCAAATTGGCCAATTTAATGTGATCATTCAATATACAACATTACACACAGAAATCACAATTGAGCGATGCATCAAATGAACAAATCCACAAGGGCCGTGACGTACGGCTCAGCACAGCATCCCAGACAAGGGTCTGGAATGCTCTCGGAAGCAGGTTCAAATCCTCGTCACGGCCCTTGTGGGTTTATTCATTCAATATACAAATTGGGTTGTATGTAATTGATGTAAGTGAAGCACAACTTTGACCATAACCAAACCCCAGAGCATTCATTATTTACTGCAGTGCAACTAGTCATATCTAAGTCATAAAATGTCCAGATAAACAATGTACAGCAATGCCAATTACAAAAAAACATTACTTTACAGAACTGGTCAACATTTGATTGATTGTAAAGTTAGGAGGCCTGGTCGAGGACCGGGCCGCGGGGACACTAAGCCCCGAAACCATCTCAAGGTACTGTAGTACTATGTAGCTGGCAAGGTGAACTCACCAAAAAGACGTTGTCTCTGGTGCAGATCATGATGATGGGCATGCCTTTGTCGACGAGAGCGAGGGGGCCGTGCTTCAGCTCCCCGGCCATGATGCCCTCGCTGTGCATGTAGGTGATTTCCTTGATTTTCTGTAATGTGCAGTATTTTAAACAATGATTCCTTCGTATACATTTATTTTGGTCAATTTACTAAAGCCCTCATTTTCAATCTAATCTATTCCTAACTAGGTTTATCTATACATTTCTAAAAAAAAAAAGTGGTGGTTAGTTGCAATGCTGGGGCCAGATTCACAAAGCAGTTACACAAGCACTTACGAACCTGTCCATCTTTTCTCAATCTTTGGCGGCTTTGTTTAAAATTATTAAACAGTTAATGAGCTCCGAAGCACCAGGAGGCTGTTTATAACAATAACAACAGTTGATTGGCAAGTTTTCACGCTTGTAAACTGTTTAATAAATGTAACCAAAGCCGTCAAAGATTGAGGAAAGATGTACACGTTCGTAAGTACTTGCATAACTGCTTCGTGAATCTGGCCCCCTGGTAAACAGAAACGTTCAGTAATTTTTTTATGAAAACATCAACCGGGAGTCATTATTATGCAGGTAATCTTTAAACCATATGTTATTGTACAGAAATTAAATTAATCTTGAGTATATTCACCATTCTTGATACTGATCCATAATAAAACATTTGGTGATTTGTGCAAGATTTTCTGTGATTGAAGTATGAGGTACGCCTTCTCTCGCTAATATACAGTATAGATATTTGATTACTTGTTATGTAATCGTCTTTCTGGGAGAGTTTCCCTTGGACACCCCCCCGGCCCCCTCACTGAAGCTATGTTGCTAGTATAACTTCCCGGTACTTTGTCAAATCAGTCACAGGAGTCTTACTGGCCTTCTGAAGACTAGAGTTTGGCCCTGCTGGAGCCCGAGCAGGAGCCTGGCCCGACCCCAATGGAGCCAGAGTAGGAGCAGGAGCCTGTCCCGGCCCCACTGGAGCCGGAGCCTGTCCCGGCCCCGCTGGAGCCGGAGCCTGTCCCGGCCCCGCTGGAGCCGGAGCCTGTCCCGGCCCCGCTGGAGCCGGAGCCTGTCCCGGCCCCGCTGGAGCCGGAGCCTGGCCCGGCCCCGCTAGAGCCGGAGCCTGGCCCGGCCCCACTGGGGCCTGGCCTGTCCCGGCCCCACTGGAGCCAGAGCCGGAGCAGGAGCCTGGCTTTCTGGATGTTTTCTTGGTGAGTGTGATTGTAAAATTCCCTAGCTCCCTGCGACTCCATGAGGAGACCTGGTTCTGGCTCTAGTTCCCGTTGGGCCAAACAGGACTCCTATGACTGATGTGGCCCAGTAGCAGCTCGGCACAATGGTGTCAGAGACCCCACCAAGGGAGGTTACCTCTGGAAAATCCCATACGCACATTTGGTTTCCTGTCAAGAACAGGAAGCCGGTTAGGCTTGTTGAGGTTGCCCTTAGGCCAACAACATCCTTTTCCAGAATGCAAACCACCAATGTCAACGTTGGCATCAACTGGCAAGGAACTGCAGTTTATGCAACCTACAATTCCTTGCTGCATCGAGGAATTGCTGCTAATTCCTTGATGCAACTGTTGCAACAGAGGCATCATGTGCAAGGAATTGTGGCCAAACTTTTTGCCCTGCCTGGGGAATTAAACTCTGGTCCCATCAATTCTGAGCCAACTGCACTAAAGGAAAAAAAAAGGATAAATTTAGAAATATTTCTCTTACATACTGTCCCCAGCTCTGCTTTTATGTCAATTTGTATCACAGAAATTATACTAATCCATGCCATGGGCACAATCAGAGAACACTGTATGAACATCAGAGGTCCACGGTTGTTCAACGTCTTACCAGCGAGCATCAGAAATATTACAGGAACAACCGTGGACATCTTCAAGAGGAAACTAGATTGTTTCCTTCAAGGAGTGCCGGACCAACCGGGCTGTGGTGGGTATGTGGGCCTGGGTATCTTGCTCCAAGCAACAGCCTTGTGAACCAAACTCTCAAGTCAAGTCTTTGGCTTGGGGAGTAGAAGAACTCCCAGAACCCCATCAGCCAGGTATCAACCAGGTATCAACCCTGTAACATCTGTTCTGCTTGTGCCCGCGGTGCCTGGTCGCCGCGGCACCGGGGACACTAAGCCCCGAAACCATCTCAAGGTAAACCACAAGGTAAGGTGGGGGTATACTCACTAGTGCACCTTCAAGACACGTGGCGTAGTTGTAGCCGCGACCAAGCACCAGCAGCGACTTCTTCTTGAACACTTCCTTGCTAATCTCTTGGATCTTGGAGTCTAGAGCCAATACCTGTCACAATACACAACATTATAACACTTAAAACTATACAGTATTCTCCCAAAATTCATAATTAACTAAAAATATATAAAAAGGTTTGGATTTTTTTTTGTGGAGGGATGGGAGGGAATTTATGAAATACTAGTAGGACTACAAGTATAATAAATTGTATAATCTAGCGCATTATAGACGTTTTGAGAGTACACAAACACTGCTTAAGTCATGGTAATTATGAGGAGAAAGTGCTAAGCCAGTATGACTGCATAGCACTTGGGAGATATATGAGGACAAGGAACTGGGATAAGAGGACAGTGTTGGGATATGAGGACAAAGTAAAGGAACAGTGCCCAACCACTGGAAATTCGATGCCCAGCCCTACAAGCAGCAAAAGCATTGCTCTACCAACCAGTGGTGTGTTAGGCAAGTGCAAGAACAGCAAATGACAAGGAAACTTGTCAGCCGTGAAAAGTTATCAGTGGAAGAACTTAGAGGGATTCTGAAGACACGTGTAACAGCTGGTTTACCCAAGATACTCAAGTCAAAGAAAACTTAAGATAATGAGTCAAATTAGCATGTACAAAGTGTTAAGAATGATGAACAATAAATTTCATTACTAACTTAAATATTGCTAAAGAGAACACAGTGTGCTGATAGTTATATAGAATAATAACAAACCGAGATTAAATTGCATTTATAGACAACACTGCCCGAAAGATTTGAAAACTTGATAAAGCCCTTACTCTCAAAATGTTAATCAATATTGTCTTATAACCCCAACAACACACACATGAAGGGAGAACGACAAAGTTTCAGTCTATCCTCGGACCAGGACAGACCAAAACATCTTCACTCTACTTTCTTTTCACGTGTGTGTGTGTGTAATTACCTAAGTGTAGTTACAGGATGAGAGCTACGCTCGTGGTGTCCCGTCTCCCCAGCACTCTTTGTCAAAGCTTTGAAACTACTGACGGTCTGTGTGTGTGTGTGTGTGTGTGTGTGTGTGTGTGTCGAGGGGTGTGTGTGTCGAGGGGGCAGGGGGGGGGGGGCAGTTATGAATTTTCAGCCATTTTTTTTTTTTTTTACTGATTCCCTGCAATATAGTCTACTCATTTTAATGTTTCTCTACATAAATTAAACATTTGACCTGGGTTCGTGTCTTGGCCGGGAAGGATTGACTGGGCGCCAATCCTTAACTGTAGCCTCTATTCACCCAGCAGTGAATGGGTACCTGGTTGTTAAACGATTGGGCGGGGGTCACATTCCAGAGAAAATTAGGATTAAAGACCGTCCCGAAATGCTATGCGTGCTAGTGGCTGTACAAGAATGTAAAATCTTTTGTATACATAAATCAATAAAAAATGGTTAAAGTAGAATGTATTCTCATTTACCTCTTTAATCTGTTCGGGCAGCTTGCGGAGGCCCTGGATAATCTCTGATCGGCGAGGCTGGGCAGAGATGCGATCTTCAGAAATCATGAGGGCGAACATTACCAGCGAGATCATCTGCGAAGTGTACGCCTTAGTCGAGGCCACACCAATCTCTGGACCTGCGTTAATATGAACACCACAGTGCGATTCCCGGCAGATGGAAGAACCAACGGTGTTGGTGATGCCTACAATAAGGGCGCCGCGGGTCTTGCAATATCTGGGGAAAATAATGACATAAGTAAGGGCACCATGTTTGTATTCACAAGAAAAAATACAAAATATTTTTTGCACATATGCAAAATTAAAATCCTCCATTAGTATTACAAATATACTTACAAAGGAAGGTTCATACACACAGTATGACAAGGAAACTAGTGACAATTTAAAATGCTATGTTTGCCAATATGATGCTATGTTTAGCACCCCAATAAACAGCTTGAAAGTTGAAGATCCGGACAGCATTTTTATGAATGATATTCAAACCCCTGACTATATATCTGTTATTAACATGAGCACACAGACTTTGAAATGGAAAACATACCCCATTTACTCAGCCCTCTATCTGACCTAGTCGGGGTTTCACACAATTCCCCCCCCCTCCCCCATGCACCCGTGCTCTGCCAACCAAATGTTCTACCTCTACCCCCTTACTTCAATACACTAAAGAATACTCGAACCCCTCATTGTATGAGGGTTCCCATTGTTCCCATGAGGGTTCCCGAACCCTCATTGTATGAAGTACACTCGAACCTGGTTAGTACCAACCAACCAGGCATCATCGTGGCCCTTGTGGATTTGTCGTGGATTACTTCACATATGGAAAATAATTAACCAAGGGCAAATTTCTGGAATCGAGTTGTAATACCCTTCTTGAAAGTCTAGCATGAACAAGGTTTAGCCTGAGGGTCGTGACCTTGGTCACCCCCCCCCCACTCACCCCTTCCCCATTAAACCTCCCATTAGAGTAATTAAAGTATTCCCTATAATGCCAAAGCAAAATTCCATACAAGTAGTATTCAAATTTGGGTAATGAAAAAGTAGTCATAATTCCAATGTTAAATCAAAGATTGCTATTAACTTCTACTCTGCCTCATATCTTGGTGCTAGTAAAGGTATAATACTGTATACCATACCTCGGACTTGGTAGAATATAATACCGTACATCATACTTTCAAGCTAGAAGAGTATAATACTGTATGTCATACCTTGCAGCTAGTAGAGTATAATACTGGACATTATACCTCGAAGGTAATAGAACATAATACCATATCATACCTCAGAGCTACTAGAGTATAATACTGTACGCCTCAGAGCTAGTTGAATATAATATTTCACCTCATATCTCGGAGCTAGTAGAGTATAATACATCATACCTCGAAGCTAACAAATATAATACTGTATGCTATACCTCAGAGCTAGTAGGGTATCTGCAGTTTCTCCAGACTGAGATACAAAGAAACAAACGTCATCTCTGAAAATGGGCGTGTTGCGGTCCAAGAAATCGGAGGCCAAATCCACCATGACGGGAAGTTCGGTCAACTCCTCCAGCAACTGTCGTGTGGCGATGGTTGAGTGGTAGGACGTCCCGCAAGCAATCAACAAAAGTCGACGGCAGCGACGAATTTCACTCAAGTGTTCCTATTGAAATAAATATCACATTATACAAGTTGAAATACAACATTAACAACGGGTTTCAATGAAAATAAAACTGTAAATACTTTTATGTATTATGTATTTTATATTTATAAAATATAATTTTTTTATGCAATGAAATTGAAGTACATTTTTACTGTGTACTATATTGATTCTTGCAATTACAGTGTAATTAACAGTTGATAGCTGATCAACCAGGCTGTGATTGATACGTCAGGCTGCAAGCAGCTATGTCCAACAGCCTGGGGCCAGATTCACGAAAGCACTTACGTAAGCCCTTACGAATCTGTACATCTTTCTTCAATCTTTGGCGGCTTTGTTTACAATTATTAAACAGTTAATGAGCTCCGAAGTACCAGGAGGCTGTTTATAACAATAACAGTTGATTGGGAAGTTTTCATGCTTGTAAACTGTTTAATAAATGTAACCAAAGCCGTCAAAGATTGAGGAAAGATGTACACGTTCATAAGTGCTTTCGTGAATCTGGCCCCTGGTTGACTAGACAACCAACCAGGAAGCCTGGCCAGAGACCGGGCCACGAGGCTGTTGATCCCCAGAAGCTACACAAGATAGCCACATGGTAACAAGAAGCTTACAATTTGGTGTTATCTAGATAAACAAATTGAAGAGTGCTGGCACGTACCTTAATGCCACCTAATACCACAGTTTCACTGTCGAAGTTGATGCGTCCTCTCATAGTGTTCACAACAGATTCAGGCTGTTCAAAGATTTCCTTTTGCATGAACGACGAGAAGTTACCCTTCATTATTTGTTGGATTTCCATCTTCAGTGTGGTAATTTCCCGCGCATGAGAGTCTTCCAAGCAGCGTTTGAGGCGATGAATCTTGAGGATGCCTTCTGAATCAACACTAGCAACGTCATCATCCTATAACAAGATGAGTAACTAGCAAATAAAATTTTATTACCAAAAAAACACACATTAAATTTCATTACCAAATTGGCACCACCCTGTAGGTAGTTTAGAAAATGATATATCTTGAACATCGAAACAAAAGAAAGTTATATTTACGTATATGTAAACTAAGTAATGTGCAGTACTCTGCTTTTTTTTTTTAATTAATACCTAGACTGAGCACTCTATTACATTCAATGATTCCATGAACTCATCGCATAAAAACTTAATTATTTTTAGTACTTCACCAGTTGATAGTTATAGTAAGATATGAGTAGTTTTTATTCTTTCTCTGAAATAAATGAAGTTTCAACAGCAGCAATTTATATACTCGTTCATTTTCTAAATATTCAGACACGGATATCTTACCAAGAGGTAAATGACACGATTTGTGTGTTCAATGATAGCAGAAGCATCTGACGCAAAGAAATACTCCACTTCCTTGTCGTCTCCAAGAGGAAGGAATTCGGCCGTAGATTCAGTGCGTGCAAGGCCGTGAGGAAGTTCAAAAACGTGGGTGCGGTGATCTGTAGAGAGTGAGAATTTTGTTTAATGTAATATTAATGCTGTATTTAATAAGGCATGAATATAGCAACTTTATTAATATATAGTTCAAGAAAGGTTTTACACACATACAGGTAGAATACACATTTTTGAACATGTAAACACAAAACTTCACTTCAAATTAGTATACAGATTACTTTTGCAGGACTATGAAAATTATTGAAAAGACAACAAAATAAACTTAAATAAAAGCATTAAAGCTTACTAGCTAAATGGCTTAGGCTTAAGCTTTAATTCAAATATTGAGCATAAAACAGTCTAATATTACACACTAAGTTCAAGTTACATGATAAATGCGAATGAAATGCATATATGGAACTGTATACATAAACAAGTGCACTTTTACCGATTCGCTGCAAGATAAACAAACACACTGATGATATGCATATACACTGACTCGCACCGAGACAAACACAAAACATGAACACACATTATAAACAAACACTCTGAAGACGAACATATACACTGACTCACACCAAGACAAACACAAAACATGAACACACATTATAAACAAACACTCTGAAGACGAACATATACACTGACTCACACCAAGACAAACACAAAACATGAACACACATATTATAAACAAACACTCTGAAAACGAACATATAAACTGACTCGCACCAAGACAAGCATGAAACGTGAACATATACTTTACCTCCTTGACTGTCTATTTGGGTATATAGAGAGAGGGATATGGGGAAGTTTGGGGGGAGTCATGCAGCGGACGGCGAGAGACGCAAGCCAACCATAATGAAAATAGGGGGAAAAAATAAAAAGTCAAATTTAGTTAGTATAATGAGGCCTTTCAATAGGTACGTGAATATCTTAACAATTGGTTGTTAATTTAACACACACATGCTAGAAGTGTAGAAAGTGGCATGCTGGTAAAATTTAACTATATCTATACTCTATGTTCACTGCAAAGGAAATCTAAATGTTGGGTCAAGATAATTAATATATTCAAGTGCTATTCTACTTCAAGAATACATCAAATTGTTCTTTATCATGCAAACAATATCTACAAATATATATATAAATTATAAATTGTACAGTACTATGTACATGCAAACTTAGTTATTCAAACCGTCATTTACTCAATATTATCTTAAATTATCTATACAAAAATATATATATATTGTAGTTGTAGCCATGGGTGTCATTCTAGGTGTCAAGTGCCACAAGTCTTAATACTAGTACTATCTGAAGAAAGAAACTTTGCACTTAAACTAGAATATCATTGCCCTCAGTGTGGTCACGTACGATGCGTTCCAAACCGCTCTATGTCGAGAAATTTACAGAATATAACTTCTTGACAACAACGAAATAACGCATCTACAGAAGTAAATTTATATTAAAGTTTTCCATTTGAAGAAAATTATTAACATACACCACACTAGAATACTCTATTTATAATGCTCTAGTGCTTAAATATTAACCTTCGCTTATTGCAAGCATACAATAATTCCCGAGCAAATCCACAAGGGCTGTGACGAGGGTTCGAACCTACGCACAGGATGTTCCCAGATGTGCCTCAGTATAACGTTGATCTTAGTATATGCGCCTTATATATCATGCTATTGTGATTTTGTGTGTGTATACAATAATTCTTATTATAGTCAAGAGAAATATCACATTAACTATCAACATCTGGTTGCCAACAGTAGTACCTGTAATAATATTTGATTTCTTATCTAATAACTAATATCACCAATCATTTCTTTTAGAGGTCTTAAGGAGACACTTGGCACATGGGTAAATGTGTGGAGCTGGCTAATACACGTTTGTGGGGCTTTGACAAGGCCAGTTGCAATCACTGGCATTTTATATTAACTTCAATTTATTTGTGTGTCGAGTTTTGTATTAGAGATCGTAATTACCTGTATAGTTAAAGAGTAAGAGTGATTCTTGTGGTGTCTCATCATCCCAATAATCTCTGAGACTTAATGCTTTGAAGCTAGCTATGATTCTGGCATCCACCCTCTTCTCACCGAACTTCTTCAAACCTTTTACAATTCTCTTTTCATAAAGAGAACTTTTGTATGTTTTTAGCACCTTTGTTTCCTTAAGACTTCTTGTTGAAGTTTCAAGAATTCCTCTTTGTCAATTTTGTCATTCGTTCATGTGTATACTCGCTTAATTGTACTCTTCTAATTGTGCTTGTGAGGGTTAAGTTTTTGGCTCTCTGGTCCCCACCTCTCAATTGTCAATCAACTGGTGTACAGGTTCTTGACCCCTATCGGTCTCTATAGTATCTACATTCGAAACTGTGTATGGAGTCAGCCTCCATGATATTACTACCTAATGCATTCCATTTGTTAACTACTCTGACACTGACAAAATTCTTTCTAATGTCTGTAGCTTATTTGGGTTCTCAGTTTCCACCTGTCCCCTTGTGCGAGTACCACCAGTGTTAGACACCCAAGACCTGGGTACCAAGGACCCAGGTCTCCCATTCTTTAGATTTGGTTAGTTCTCTTACCCCTTTTTGGCTGTGTCTCCATTTTTCCTAGGATGTTGTTGCATAGATTGTTTCATCGGTGGCTTTCTCCTGCTGCCCTATTGCCTGCTTGTTTTCTTTTAGTTTCTGCCGCCTTTTGGAGGTGGTCTGGATGAGTGGGAACCTCACCCGTTGTTGGTTGAGGTAGGTCCTCTGGTGGGTCAAGTTCCCAGGCTGTTGCGCTTCATGAAGGGCTTCCTCCTCGGCTCAGTGTTACAATCACACATTACAGAAGTCTGGTTCTGCCAAGGGTTCACATTGGCCCTTTCATAGTTCACTCCTGTGATGCTGCTGTGGGGAGCACTTTGCACATTTTGCCGGCTTCTGATCCCACGGTGTGAGCTTTTCAGGTTGTTTACCTGGGGCGTTCGATGGAGCTCTCTGGGTTTGGTTCTGCACGCAGTTCACATGTAGGATGAGTCCAACGTCCTCACAAAGATTTTAATGCTTTCAACCAGTCTCCATGGAGTGGACCTTGAAGGACGAGTCCTTCTGTAGGCTTCGAGGTGTCCAGTCTCCCTGAGGTGGATCTTTTCGTGTTAGCGTGGGACCAGCACCTTCCTTCCTACATGGCTCCATTCCCCAATCATGAGGCTCTCATGGTGTATGCCTTTCAACTAGACTGGTCAAGGTGGAGGTGTCTTTACCTGTTTTCCTCATCAGTTGTTTTGGGTGTTGTCCAGTCTGGAGTTGTACTTGGGTAGGGTAATCCTTCTGGGTCCGGTGTTGTCCAATCCTTCAGTTGGTGTTGACACTCCCACAGTGCCATTCTGCATGTTGCTGATGTTACACTACACACAAATCACAATAGCATGATACATCAAATGAACAATCCACAAGGGCCATGATGAGGGTTCGAACCTACGTCCAGGGTGATCCTAGATGCGCCTTAGTCGATTGTGCCACAACATGGTATAATAATTACAACAGGGAGTGCTACTGCCCTCACATGGATCCCGCGGCCTCTCCGAGACATAAACCAGGGTTTTACACAACTCCCCCCATGCATCTGGGCTCTGTCAACAAGCTGTTCTACCAACTGAGGTAGAATAGCTTGTTGACGGAGCCCGGGTGCATCAGGGAATTGTGTAACACCCGGTTTGTGTCTCAGAGAGGCTGCGGGATCCGTGTGAGGGCAGTAGCACTCCCGGTTGTAATTCTTATACTGTGTTGTGGCGCAATCAACTAAGGCGCATCTAGGATCACCCTGGACGTAGGTTCGAACCCTCATCATGGCCCTTGTGGATTTGTTCATTTATTAATGTTGCTTGCAGTTGGCGTCTCATGCAGTTGTCTCGTACATTCTTCCTTCTCCGGCCTGATCATGCTCCTCCTGGGCTATCCTGGTCCCTTGACTGTGTTTTGCCTTTTTTCATACTTTACCTCAGTTTATGATTTCCTCTTCGGCTCACTATGTCTTTCGTAATGTTTTTTCTCATTGGCTCTCACATCTGGTTGGGGAGCGTGAGGCTCTCCTCCAGAGACATGGGTTTTGTTCTTTGGTCCTGGTGGCTGGTTTGTTTGTGTACCGTCGTCTCCTCCTTTTTCTAGTGAAGAATGAATAAGTGGACTTCCTGAGGGGTCCTTTGGTAATCAATGCTTTTGTTCGTTTGGCCGTGGTTACCTAGCAGTAAATAGGTACTCGGGAGTTAGTCAGCTGTCACGGGCTGCTTCCTGGGGGTGGAGGCCTGGTCGAGGACCGGGCCGTGGGGACACTAAAAAGCCCCGAAATCATCTCAAGAAGATGGTTCATCATTTTGTGTTTGGCAGCTCTTCGCCACTACTCGTGTGCCACAGTATCGGGTGGATGCCGTGTTAGGTCCAGTTTCCTTCGTTCCCTCTTACAAGGCTCGCATTTCTCAGGGTGTTTGTAGTGTCATCAAATCTAGCGTTGTGTTTGGGCTACCGGAGACCAACTTTCGTGACCAATGTAACCTTTTAGAATGAAGCATTCTCAGGAAGATAGCCTCAGGGAGTCACAGGGGCTCATCCGGAAAGAGGCATTTCATTACATTCAAGGCTTTTATTTTATAATGCCCAGGATGGTAACTAATGCTTTCAAAATAATTGCCAGATATCTCCAGGTATTTCATTACATTCAATGCTTTTATTTTATAATGCCCAGGATGGTAACTAATGCTTTCAAAATGTTTTCCAATATGACAAATGATTGCCAGATGTCTAGTATCAATGACAACTAAATAGAATATTTAAAAACTTTGAATATTAAGATACACATTAAATCAATCAACAGGAACATCATGAGTCAATCATTTGAGATTGACAGGAACAGTTTAATAGTTAATATATTCTTGAAAATATCAAAATTCTACAATACATTAGTGGATCAAATCTTTCCTACCACATTAAATACACAGTCATTAATGTATTCCTACATTTACCTTCAAAATAGATTAAAAATTTATTTCTAAAATCCTATACGTAATGTATTGAGCTGCAATGAAATGCTATGTGTTTCCTACTACAGTAATACAAAAACATTCAAAGGAAAATTCACAATTACAGTACAGAACACAAAACACTGGCGTTGCCGTAGCCCCAGGCACTCGCTGCCAGGTGTATGATGCCATCAACCTAACACTAGAATAATAAGCAACTAACAAATGTGTCATAACAAAAAGCCTTTACATGTTATTTTCAGTATATTTATAGCCGAATTTTGAAAATTTGTACTAAAACGAGACAAAAATAGAAGTTTCATGCTGTACGATAGTATAGAGCAGTCACCCATTCTACGTTGCCATGTGCCGCCACTGTAGAACACTAACAGTGGACGACTAGCAATGTTAGTATTCTATACTGAAATTGTGACTGTCCTTAACTTTAGATATCTATACCTAAATAGTATCTTCATATTTGTCTTAAATCTGTATCTAAATTTATTTATATAACAAAATACTTATAGTATTTTTATCCCTATGACGACTTATTTGTGAGAACAGTGCATCATAAACAGCGAGAAATCATTATTCTCCGAAACATGAATAAACTAGTGAAAGTGTAGCTGCCAAGGCTCTCGAAACGAATAGCACTCGGCATTGAAATACTGTACAGTACAGCTGAATAACCTCAGCAAAGACAATAAACTTTCAAAGACACATGTTTACAAGAGATAGTAGCTGCAAGGCAAGTTCAGACATTATAAAATGTGTACAGTACATATGTAATTCATAAAAAAATTAAATTAAAAACAAAAAAGAGGTTTTCCATAGTATTGAACTTTCCTTAAGTAAACATTTCCCAAAGCAAGGGACAATGATGAACACACTACGCACCACAACAAATAATCGCTACCGTGTGTTCCCAACCTGGACTCAAGATTTGAAAGTTTGCAAGTCTTGGACACCCAATCCACACGTCTGAAAGTGGCAATGTTTCGGTCCATTCCTCCTTCATTTACAAACGTGTGGGTTGGGGGTCAAATTTTCAGATGCATTACACACAGAAATCACAATTGCCTGGCGCATCAAATGAACAAATCCACACGGGCCGTGGCGAGAATTCAAACCTGCGTCCGAGAGCGTCGTAGCTCGGTCGATTAAGGCAGCGTCTGGGATGCTCCCAGATGCAGGTTCTAATCCTCGTCACGGCCCCTTGTGGATTTGTTCAGCTGCATTATTGTGACTTACTGTCTGCACTTGGATGCTATCCCATGTCAGCAACTAACACAATGCAAAAATAGAAAAAAAGAAAAAGACAAAATAATATAATATTACCTTCTTTAGCAGGAAGACCTATAGAGTGGTGAGAAGTAGTTGAGGTTCAGGGAAGAAAGAGGGAATATTACTAAAAAGGTAATATTTACGTGGAATCATTGCCTGTGTATCCAAAACTATTTCTACGAGTTTCAGACAAAAGCATGTACTACAGCATTGTTATGCTCTACTTCAATGACACTATCAATATGTATATTACAGGACTTCTAGTTAATACTCTGCTACTTGACAGTAAGGAAAAATAAATACAAATATCATTGAACAAGCTGTGAATATTAATACAGTACTGTAAAACTAAATAAGTGATATATCTCTTCAAACAAAATCAAACAGAATGTATTCAAAATTTGATCAAAAAATACAAAATTAAGCAGAATTTCTTCATATTATGCATGACTGAAATGGGGGAAAAAAAAGGATAGTCACTGTACAAACTAAGGCTTTTAAATACTTGTTAATTACATTTACAGCCCTTTTTTGAAATATATTAGCTGACCTATTAATTGGAGCATATGAGAACCTAACAAAAATATTCAATTAATGCAAAGTCTTGAAATTATAAATTCTTGAGTAACAACAGCTAAAGGAATTCACATTATGTACTTTAACTACCCAGATAAATACATAATATAAATGTCAAATATCTAAAAACTGAATGCCTTACACAGGGACATGTTCCGTTGGATCTCGGAATCATCAAACTCTTTAACCCTTCCGTTGCACGCTGTACCTGTGTCCACTTTCAGGGTTGTGCCGATGCTTACCCATCGCTGACTACGAGAAAGCGCCGTCCACCCCCTTTTTGTCGCACCTACGTATTCTTGCATCCATTGCATTAAATTACAATGTCAAATTATTCGAATGTTACAATTCCTTGTGGAGTCTGGGCTTTAGTTGTGGATGGAGGTGACCTCCATAATTAATTCCGTCAGTGCATTCCCCACTGTGCCTCTGAGTGCCTAGACTTGTGTACAATTGGCTACAAAGGTATTTCCCGGGGGCAGTGATGGAAAAGGGTTTTGGGAACAGGGTTATATGCCAGTTCTGAGAACATGGTATATGCTGGTTTTGTACACATGGTATACGGATGCTTTTGGGCACAAGGTATGTGCCTGTTTTGGAGACTAAGGATGCTGGTTTGTGGAACCAGGTATGCTGGTTTGGGGGACTAAGGATGCTGGTTTGAGGGACTAGGTATATGCTAAGGCTGTATCCAGGATTTATGTTTAGTGATCACAAACGGGGGTCTATACATAAATGTAATAAAGAAACAAGTAATTGTAATTGATAAAAACTTGACAAAGGATAGCTAATAGATGTCTCCATCAGTACAGCAATTGAACCTAACCAGCACTCACCACTCCTCTGTGAGGGTGATGTATCACACACTCCTGTCGTGTCCTGTCACTGCCCCGTAGCCCAGGCGCGTCAAACATGCGGCCCGTATAAAAGTTACTGTACAGTACTTTGGTCACTTAATGGCCAAAATTGCCTTTTTTTATAATTTAAACTACATTAGAGGAGTAAAATAATTTACCGCATACTTCTCACCTCATACGAGTGTCGATTGATGAAGTGTGAGATGCATGTTATCGCCTCCCCCTCGTGTGCATACTAGAGGGAAGTGATAAGAGGGGGAGCGCAAGCGTGAGAACTCTTCAATATTCTGGTGGTCTCACCTTTTAATAGGTTTCAAAAGCACAAAAGAAGCCCTCATGACAACTCAAATGTGATCCATGCGGCCCTTGGGGGGACCCTCGGTTTGACATGCCTGCCGTAGTCCTCTTCCCGCGACATTTATGTTTACGCGATACTACTGTTTGACATGCCTGCCGTAGTCCTCTTCCCGCGACATTTATGTTTACGCGATACTACTGTTTGACATGCCTGCCGTAGTCCTCTTCCCGCGACATTTATGTTTACGCGATACTACTGTTTGACATGCCTGCCGTAGTCCTCTTCCCGTGACATTTATGTTTACGCGATACTACTGTTTGACATGCCTGCCGTAGTCCTCTTCCCGCGACATTTATGTTTACGCGATACTACTGTTTGACATGCCTGCCGTAGTCCTCTTCCCGCGACATTTATGTTTACGCGATACTACTGTTTGACATGCCTGCCGTAGTCCTCTTCCCGTGACATTTATGTTTACGCGATACTACTGTTTGACATGCCTGCCGTAGTCCTCTTCCCGCAACATTTATGTTTACGCGATACTACTGTTTGACATGCCTGCCGTAGTCCTCTTCACGCGACATTTATGTTTACGCGATACTACTGTTTGACATGCCTGCCGTAGTCCTCTTCACGCGACATTTATGTTTACGCGATACTACTGTTTGACATGCCTGCCGTAGTCCTCTTCCCGTGACATTTATGTTTAAGCGATACTACCGTTTGACATGCCTGCCGTAGTCCTCTTCCCGCGACATTTATGTTTACGCGATACTACTGTTTGACATGCCTGCCGTAGTCCTCTTCACGCGACATTTATGTTTACGCGATACTACTGGTAGTCATTTGATTGTGGCGACCATAAGGCCTCCTTGAATGAACTTGTGGGAATACTGTGGTTGATGATGTCGTAACAATTGTTAGCTGTGATATTTACAATTTTTGGCCATAGCCATCACTGTGATGTTATACGCACAGGAACAGATGCAAATGTCTCCCCACTAAGTGGTATTCATAGTCCACTCATATATAGTACTGTATTTACTTTTATTTCTCTAGACCAAAAGTATATCAACTGATTTCATCATTTTCTTGTACTCCACATATTTTACTATATACTATATTCATAATCAAAATAATTTTGTAATGTTCTAAACAGTTTGACATTACTCAGATTACAGTGGCTTAGAACTCGCAACAAATTGGAAATAATTCACAAATTGACAAATTCTTGGCGAACCAGAATATGGTATATGATCCACTAAAGGCTGGTAGATCCATTGGTAGATTGAACTGACTCTGCTGAAAAAATTTCTGTATATATAAGTAAACAGAAATAACACCATCTCTGTTCTACCAGCCTCCCTAGGCAAACTACCGATCCTCACTAGGATGAAACACACATCAATTGCCTAACTCCTGGGTACGTGTTTTACTGTTAGGTGAACAGAGGCATCAAATGAAAGGAAACATGCCCAAACATTTCTGCCCTGGGATTGAACTCGTCCCTCGGTTGTGAGCCAAGGACACTATTAAATAGTTTTTGTTTTGTACTGAATACAGCACCATACTAATCTCTTTACTGTATCTCCATTCCTATCAAGGCTAACATTTTTTCCTTAAGTACTGTGTATAGTACAGTACTTTAGATGTATTTTTATAAAATAAATTTCTCAGGGTAATCTGAAGAGAAAGTCTACCTTTCTTGGCCTACGATGGCCAAATTTTAGCACTCCAAATTTTGTGCTTATTTTTCCTGAACTTATCTTGAGGTTATCTTGAGATGATTTCGGGGCTTTAGTGTCCCCGCGGCCCGGTCCTCGACCAGGCCTCCACCCCCAGGAAGCAGCCCGTGACAGCTGACTAACTCCCAGGTACCTATTTACTGCTAGGTAACAGGGGCATTCAGGGTGAAAGAAACTTTGCCCATTTGTTTCTACCTCGTGTGGGAATCGAACCCGCGCCACAGAATTACGAGTCCTGCGCGCTATCCACCAGGCTACGAGGCCCCTTCACATAATTGATTCTCTAACTTCATAACATCTAATTATATTTTGAATTTTTGTAAATAAAGCCACACACGGGAAGTAGCTGGAAAGTAACAGCTGCAACGGAAGGATTAAATGTATCCTGGGTATTCTGTTACCTGGGCTCTAGGAGGCTTGAGCCGTGGCCCACCACGAGTGTGAGCCCGAAGCTCTATCGACCGTGCTATTGAGTAGTCTTGATAAGGAAAGTTTCCAGAAGCAGCATCATGCTGCTAAACTGGAATTTCCCACTCTCCCCGATTACTACTGAAGCTCAGAGGAATGAGTGATCCACACCATGTCATATAATAAGATGTTCCTAAATAAACACTACTCAATAGCTCAGTCGATAAAGCTTCGGCCCCACTCGTGTGGGTCCACGGTTCAAGTCTCCTAGATCCGAGGTGAATGTGAATGGAATGTTTATTTCCACGGAAGTGTGGATGACAATTTGTATGTATCCTGGGTAGTTAGCGTACACTGGAATACACAAGGAGAGAGAGAGAGAGAGAGAGAGAACGAGGATCGGGAAACCATTACCTTCCAAGTCTAGCATCAGGATCATCAGGTAGTAGGGGAGGTCGGGTCATTGCGGGACAGAAAGGTAAACACAGGTGAGTAACCGAGGTTAGTATGTACATTCTAATGACTGTGGAGTCGATAATGGCAATAGTGCAAAATTTACATGACTAGAAAATATTTACAAAACATGTCTACTGTACTAATAGAAATAAAAAAAGAGTAACTTCTGCAGATATTTACAGCTTTACTAATAGAAATAAAAGAGCAGATACAGTATTTACAGCGCTAATAATAGAAATATAAAAAAGTCACTTCTGCAGATATTTACAGCTTTACTACTGACAAATACAAGATCTAGTATTAAATAAAGATTACTACTGTAAAAAAGTAAGCTACTGTATTTTTAACAAAATATACTGAAATAAAATACAGGGTAGGTATAATATGAAAATAAAATGAAGTCGGGTAATAAGCACAACATAGAACACAAAAGCCACAAGACCATCAATCATCAAAGAAAGTTGTTAAATATGCAATAAAGTAATAACCAATGTATATAATAACAAAAAATTCATGGGCCTTTCCTCACCTTTTTTTCCAGCAAAGCGAAAAGAACAAGTAACGTAAACAAAGAGAATTTTCTAAACAACGGACATTCTATTACATTACAGACCATTAAACGTTTTTCTCCCCCCTGGCATGTCTTTACGATCACCACGAATGTGTCGGGAATAAATGTAAGCTCAAAATATATGTAGTTCTGTAATTGCTTAAGTGTGGTTACAGCATGAGAGCCATGCTGTATGGCTGTATGGTTATTTAAGCAGTCCCTGTGGCATAGTGGTAAGATACTCGCATGGTGCTTCGCAAGCGCTTTGTCCTGGGTTCATATCCTGACCGGGAAGGATTTACTGGGCGTAAATCTTTAACTGTAGCCTCTGTTTACACAACAGTAAAATGGGTACCCGGTTGTTAAACGATTTGGTGGGTCGTATTCCGGAGAACATAGGATTAAAGACCTGCCCGAAACACTGTGTGTGCTAGTGGCTGTACAAGAATATAAGAACTCTTGTATATATAAATAAATAAAAAAATACATAAATGCTCGTGGAGTCCCGTCTTCCAGGTACTCTTTGTCATACGGCTCTCTGAAACTACCGACGGTTTCGGCATTTACCATTTTCTCACTTACGGTAACTTGTTCCAACCGTCTACCACGCTGTTTGCAAAAGTGAACATTCTAGTGTTTTTATCGGTAACTTTGCATCATTTGCTTAACTCTATGACGTCTTGTTCTTAAAGTTCTAGCTTTAAAGATTTCTTCTTTGTCAATTCCTGTTAGTGCTTTGTAAGTAGTGATCGTAATACAGTACCTCATTTTCGTCTATCTACTAGCTTTGGTATATTTAACACATCTTCGTAGCTATTGTGTTTCAGCTCTGGAAGCTATTTAGTTGCATGTCTCTGCACCTTATACAGTGTGTTTCTGTGCTTCTTGAGATATGGATACGATACAACTGCTGAATATTCAAATTTTTAGTCTCACAAAAGTTGTGAAAATTTTTATTTCACCGTCCACAATCGGTATTTAAAAGCAATTCTGAGGTCGAAAAGCATAGCATTGGCTCCTCACACATTGTCTTTCATGTGATCATCTGGTGACGGCTTACTGTCCAGAACCTCCCCTAGATCTTTTTCTTCGAGTTTAATGCCTTTTCACATATATCTTTTAAAGTTATTTGTGGACTATTTTCTTCTATCCCACATTCCATAACATGTCATTTATTGACACCAAATTCCATCTGCCAAGTGTTGCTCCATATCCTTATTTTATCCAGCTTATCTTGAAGGGCATGACAATTGTCTAAATCTCTTAAGACTGTATTCCCTCTGGTACCTGGAGCATACCTGGAGATGGTCTCGGGAGTTCTTCTCCCCGAGCCCAGCCTGAGGCCAGGCTTGACTAGGCTGGTAGATTCTTTATATAGACCATGAACATTACTGGTGCTAGAACTAAACCTTGTGATATACCACTAGTAACAACTCTTTTTCCTCCAGTTTAATACAGTGCCTCTGATTTCTTTCAGAACATTTTCATCTATGTTTAGACGTCTTCTCATCACCCCTCCAGCATGTTCCAAATTCTAATACAACCTCTTGTGTGCGACTCTTTTTTCAAAAACCGCCAAGCTCCAGTTCGGAAGCTAAGCTTCAACCAACGCGAAAAAACCGCCGACCGGTGGGAGGGAGGGTTTCCAGGGAGCCTCCGGGGCTCACCCAGAAAATGGCGTTTCATTACATTCAACGCTGGTTTTCTGTGGGGAGCCCCTACGGCTCCCTGGAGCTTCATACCCAAAGAGAAGGAAAAGAAAGGGCTAACCCGGGAGGCGGCTGCCACAAACTCTGCAACGCAAAGCCAAGACAACCGGTCGCAAACCTGCGACCCAAGGCAACAAGAACGCCCAAGAACAGACGCACATATGGATGGGCGGCCAAAAACCTGTGCGACCCACAATTCCCTGCGCCCGAAATGAGCCCGAGACGTCACCAACACAGCAGCAATTGCTGCAAACGTCTGAACAGCACGGGCGCAAAGACAGACCGCAGGAAGAAGGAAAACACTGCGGATGACCCGGGAGACCCGAGCCCTGAAAACAGGGAACGAAGGAACCGGATCAACCACAGCGCATCCCCAGGCACGGTATGCCGGCAACAGCAAAAAGCACAACTGGACAACACAGGACGCACCCCCGGCCAAACCAAACAAGTACCAATACCCCAAGAACCCCTCCGGAAAGCAGCCGTCTCGACCGTCGCCAGGACAGAGAAAGGCTGCACACCAATAAAGCTACCACCAGTACCAAAGAGGAGGAAACTGGAACCGAAGGGGCTACCACAAACTGAGGGGAAGAGAAGAAGGCACCCTGAACAAGGACCAGGATGGTTCAGGCGACTCATGAGCAGGCCGGAGGGGAAACAAAACGCGAGAAAACGTAATAAACGTCATACAGTCTCCAAGACGAAGCTCGCAGGTGGGACACCGTCAACAAAGCCACCTGAACACCATAGAGATGGCGATACCTGCGTCAAAATACCAGACGCGAAGAGCCAAAGAGAAGGCCGAACCAGTCACGGACAGGACCGATTCGGCCTGCTGAAAGAGGCGAAGCCTCAGGAAAAACGCCCCGGGTACGGACACCTATCAAGCAGCGTCTGAAAAGAAGGCCGGGCCGGCCACCGTGGAACCATAAGGACTGTTCTCGTGGGAATGGGCTGCAACCGAGCCAGAACCCGAACCAACAGCTGGACCGGGAGAAGAGGTACAGGTACCCCCCATCTCGACCAGGCCTGCCGAAAGCCTCCACCGTGAAGTCCTCGCAGGTGGGAAGGGCGCCACAAAACGGGCGACGCCTAGACCACACCGACCCGAAGACGTCCATGGCCAGGAGTCCATAAGCCCAACAGAGCCAACAAAAGGAATCGGCGACGACTGGCCAACCCACGAAGAGGAATGAACCGAGACAGCTGTCCACCAGGACGCAGGACACACCCCGGACACGAACCACACGGTTAACCAAACCCCCTGTGGTTCCGGCAAGAACCACCAGAGAACAGTCCAAACAGAGCTGAATGGTAGAGTACCTAGTGACCCAAACCCTCCGAAGCGCAAACCAGACAGCCATGAACACCTGAACCGGGCTGTGAGCCCGACGGACAGACAGACTCCATCAACCTCGGCCGACCTGGTGAGCACTGGTCACAAAGCCCCAGCCGAGAGACGACCCGTCCGTGAACACATCGAGCGAAGGCTCGGGGAGCTGCCAAGGCACGGAACCCCGAAAACCCCAAAGAGGAAGCTGGTGACGCAGCACCAACACCAGATCCCCAGAGGAACCCAAGGAATGCAAGAGGCGGAAGTGGAGTCTCCGTAGGAACCAACCGACGCCGGAGCCAAACCCGACTCCGCGGGCAGACAAGCACGCCGAAGTGCAAACTCCCGCACAACCGCCCAAGCAACCGCTGAGCAACCCGGGACCCCCTCCTGAACAGCCAAAGGCGGGACCACAGCCACAGTAACACTTCTGGAGGGAAGACAATGAGGGGCCCAAGAGCCTGAAACAAGGCCCAGGTCCGAACCCGGGACGGAAACAGAAGGTAAAACCTCCAGATCACCAGGAAACCAAACCCAGCAATCTGGAAAGAACCATCCCCTGGCGAGCAGACAAGCGGACTGACTGGGAGCCCACTCCAGCCAGTCGTCGAGGTAGGCCAGACACCGAATCTCAGACGCAGACAGGGCACTAAGATCCGGTAAAGATGCAAAGAGTATACAAAGTGCCCTTCACAAAATAGGGAATGCAATAAAAACAGCAAACCTGAAGCCCCACCACCAAAGCATTGTATGACAATCATATGAAGACATTATGACATATGACAATCATTATATGACAATATGACAATTATAATCAAAGCATTATATGACAAAGAGTGCTGGGAAGACGAGACACCACGAGAGTAGCTCTCATCCTGTAACTACACTTAGGGAAGTACACATAGGTAATTACCAACCGTGCTAGCCCCAGAAAAACTGGAGAGGAACGTGCCAAGAAGTGACCTGGAGGTCCAGGTCCACCATCCATGCACCCGGCCCTAACAGAATCCGAACAGGAGACAACAGTCCTCCGAGCAGGGCAGAGGATCCAGGGCGCAGACGGAAGTAGTCCAGAAGAACTGCAGACTGGAAAAGCTCATGACTGCAAAGAGCAGACGGGAAAAGCTCATGACTGCAAAGAGCAGACGGGAAGCCCAGAAGGATGGGGCGGATCGACCACGCCCCACGCACCCACGAAGAGGAAATGACGAAGCGCAGGGAAGAAGCCCACCCCACCAGCTCTGAACCCCCCCAAGGGGGAGAAGCCGTCCTCCGACGCCAGCAGAGGCCGGAAGACAACCCAAAGCGCCCACCAACAGCGGGACCAAGCGAGAGGCAACAGAGCAAGCTGCTCCCCCAGCGCCCAGTCAACAGA